GTTGCCCAGGCTGGAGTGCAGTGGCACAATCGTGGCTCATGGCAACTCCCACCTCCCGGGTTCAAGTGATTCTCCTGCCTTAGCCTCCTGAGTAGCTGGGATTACAGGGGCCTGCCACCACGCCTGGCTAATTTTTTGTATTTTTAGTAGAGACGGGGTTTCACCATGTTAGCCAGGCTGGTCTCGAACTCCTGATCTGAGGTGATCCACCCACCTTGACCCCTCAAAGTACTGGGTTACAGGCGTGAGCCACAGTGCCTGTCCCAAAAAATGTGTTTTTAAACTTACTTGCTCTATCATTTTATAAATGTAATATATATTTGTGTGGTTCTCATATTAATAATGCCAATGTTATTAATAGTATGTGTATTAGGATTCTCCAGAGAGAACTAATAACAATAGATAGAGACATAAGAAGGGATTTATTGGGGAATTGGCTTATGCAATTATAGAAGCTGAGAAGTCTCACAATAGCCCATCTCCAAGCTGGAGAACCAGGAAGGTGTGTAGTCTGGCCTGGTCCAAGTCTGAAGGCCTCAGAACCAGGAAAACTGATAGGATAACTCTCAGTGCAAGGGTGAAACCCCGAGAATCCAGGGGGCTTCTGGTGCAAGTCTTGGAGTCCAAAGCTGGAAAAGCTGGAGCTCTGATGACCAATGAATGACAGGAGAAGATGGGTGTACCAGCTCCAGAAGAGGGAATGAATTCATCTTTCCTCTGCCTTTTTGTTCTAAGTCCTCAGCTGATTGAATAGTTCCTGTCTACACAGAGGGTGCATTTTCTTTAAATGTCTACTAATTCAAATGTCAGTCTCTTCCAGAAACACCCTCACAGATACACCCAGAAATAATGTTATGCCAGCTCTCTGCATATTCCTTATTCTAGTAAAGTAGACACTGAAAATTAATCATCCCAATATGCTTACTGAAAATGTTTTCTGTGGTGTGGGGAGGGGATATCTTTTTAAACGTCAAGCATATACCACTAGAAATATTTTTAAATCACTTGAAATATTTACTCTCCATCTGGCTATACTGCCAATTTAATACACAGGTTTATTCGATTTAGTTTTTGATTTTTTTAAAAAGTTGACCACTTTTTTTTTTAACAATTTAATTCATTTAATATATAAGACTTTATATTGTTCAAAAGGATAAAACAAGTTATGTTCAGAAAAGTTTCACTTTAACTGTCCATCCTCCACCTATTTCTTCCTTTCATCTATAAATAACACTAAAAACTTTTTATTGGTTTATCCTTCCATTTTTAAAAAATATAAAAATAAATACATTTACAGCTCCCCTCCCTTTACTGAATACTACATATGCTTTCCTCCTATGTGCTTTTTTCACTTAACTCTAGCTCATTCCATAACAGGATATAGAGCTCTTCATTTCTTACTACATCTGCACATTACTGCATTGTGTGAACATAGCATTATTTATTCAATAAATAAACACTGATGGACAAATTAAATTGTTTTTAGTCTTTGTGATTGCAAATAATATAGCAATAAAAATCACTATAAACTCTTAGGTCCATAAACACATAGAGTTTTGCTAGAAATTGTCCAATTTCATACTATCTTCTATTTGCAACAGCAACATATAAGAATACCTACTGTGTCCCAGCCTTGGAAACACAGTATGTTGTTCAGGTCACTTTTTAAAGCAGCTTTATTTTCATATAATTTCCATATACCACTGTAATTATACCATATAATTCACCTATTTTATGTGAATATTTTTCTTTGTAAATTGACCCACTTGTGCAGTTGTGCATTACAACAATCCAGTTCTAGAACACTTCCATTATCTCAGTAAATTCTGCTGTGAGCACTTTTAACCAAATACTTGGCATAGACTTATATGGAGGGGTTAGCACAGATGGCATAAAATCTGGTCTCACAAAACATGTAAGACCAAACGTGGTTAAGCATTCTTAAAGAACTTTTTCTTCTGTTTTTTTTTTTTTTTTTTTTTTTTAGATCTTAACATGATAGGATTCTCTCTGTCTCTTTCTCTCTCTCTGTCTCTTTTTTACTGTTCATTTAGATCTCAAGATGATAAGTAAATTTCTACTCTCTCGCTCTCTCCTTCTCTCTCTCCGGAGCACTGTAATAGTTGGTTTTATGTGGAAATTTGGCTAGGCTATCATACCCAGCTTCCAATTAAACACTAATCTAAATGTTGCTGTGAAAGTATTCTGTAGTTGAGTAAGCATCTATAGTCAGATAACTTTAAATAAAGGAGATACCTTTGATAATGTGGGTAGGTGTCATCCAATCAGTTGAAAAGCCTTAAGAATAAAATTGAGGTTTTCCCGAGGAAGAAAAGAAATGTTACCTTTGGACTGTAACTTCGGCTTCTGCCAGAGAATTCTCAGCCTGCTGGCCTGCCCTACAGATTTCTGATTTGCCAGCCTCCACAATCAGTTAAGCTAACTCCTATAGTCTGTCTATCATCTATCTTTTACATATACATACATATGTACATGTATGTATACACACACACATTCAATTATCTTAAAAGTATACTACTCCTTAAAAGCCTTTTTCTATTTTGAAGACTCCTGAAATTTCTAAATATTATTGAACAACTCAAAGAGAATATTTATAAGCATGAATATGATATATATTCTACCAGAGAAGTAGAACATTCTATCTCCTGTTGTTCCACTTATCTGGTAGAACTCTGATATGTGCACCCCAACACTACCAAACCCCAGTTCAACCATATGGACAGTATAATCTTTCTGGATGTTCTCTCAGCCTTTACAGGTCTCGTGTTTTTGACTATTCTATCCAGCATATAACCACTTAGGATAACTGGATACACCCATGGCAAACAGCAGCATCAGATATGCTTATTAATCTAGATTTTTACTTTCTTGTTATCTATGACTATCTATGACAAGGATCTTCCTTCTTTTTCCAGCAGTTTAGCCAAGTACTTTAAGAGGTGTTTAAAAAAATATTTTGTCCAGATTATTTAGTCCAACACTGGAAGACTTTCTTTGGACATCTAGTCTTCCATGTATCCAGAAATAGAAGTCATATTCATTCTTATAGATATTCTCTCTGAGTATATCAACAATATTTAGAATATTCCAGGAGTCCTTAGGGTATAAAAAGACTTTAAAGAGTAGCATATTTTTGAGAGAATTGATTTCCAGATATTTTGACTCCATATATACTCCCTCTTACGACGTATATGCCCAAGAATGTGGTCTGACGGTTCTCCTTTCTTGCCTCTCATCATAACCAACCTTGAACTATTGTGCAAAAAGAGAGCACTTCACACCCATTCTGAATCTTACTCATGCTTTGCTTTGTGATGCAAAAACCTTCTGGATGACAAAAGACAATTTAAGAATTAATAGCTACAGAAGAAGAATTCCATGAGAGGAAAACAAAGGGAGCCACTGTGCAAAATGTGAAAGCAGCCAGTGCCGCTGTGGATCTCATGAAGACAGAGAGTAGACTGGTAGTTACCAGAGGTCAGAGAGAGTGGTGGGGAGAGGGAAATGAAGATAAGCTGATTAATAGGTACAAACACATGGTTTGGTAGAAGAAATAAGATCTAGTGTTAGATCAGTAGGGTGACCACAGTTTACAACGATCTATTGTATATTTCAAAATAGCTAGAAGAGAATCATTCAAATGGTTCTAGCCTAAAGACAAATATTTAAGGTGATAGATATCCCAAGTACACTGATTTTATCTTTACACATTAGAAGAATATATTAAATTATCCCATGTACCCTCAACTTATGTACATCTATTGTGTATAAGTTTACACACAAAAAATAAAGCAGCAGTGCCTTGTTTCATCTGGACGCAGACTCTTAACAATGCCTTCTCTAAGAGTTAGGATTCAACAGTGAGACTATTGTCACAGGAATATGTATTAACATTTTCATTTTCAAATCAAAGTAAGTCTTTTTATAACAAAGTACAGTCACGTGCCACATAATGACATTTTGGTGTAAGATGAATGTGCTGCATATACAACCGTGGTCCCCAAGATTATAGGGAGCATGCATAGAAGTCTGATATGTGGCACTAGGTTGGTATTGGCACTGCAGATCAAGTAGGGGAAATGACTGATAATCAGTAATGGTGCTGGGACATGGTTTTCCATATGAAAAATACATAAAAATATATATGCCGCCTAGTTTGTGTAAGTACACTCTGTCATGTTTGTACAATGATAAAATAACCTAACAATGCATTTCTCAGAACATAGCCCCATCATTAGACGATGTATGACTGCATAAGTTTGATTTGGCTCATTCGTTCAACAATAAGGACTACCTTTGTACCTCGAGATGGACAGGCAGACATCCTCCACAAACTGAGTGAGCTAACTATATAGCTTCAAGGTTATGATGAAAGATATGATGAAAGATATATTTCAAGGTTATGATGAAAGATATGAACTATACAATATGTCAGAAGTTATATCTTTTAAAATACATTTATAGTTAATAAATGAGAAGTTAAAAATGTGTGATGAGATATATAACTTTAAAAAGTTATTTTAGGGCTTAAACAAATTGGAAGATCATTAATTTATACCATTAGTTTCTCTAACATTTTTGTTGTTTTAAAATTGCTATTAGAATTACCATGTTAGTACTTTATCATTTTAGGAATAGATTTTAGAATTAATAGTTCAACCTATTTCACCTAGTTACAAACTGAAAAGAACAATCAAAGGTACTACCCAGATGCCAAATAAAGTGAAATTTTGATTGAAAATTAGTTTTGATTTTAATGCGCCCTTAATGATTAGTTTAACCTCATTTTAATGACATACACAATGTGCTTGTTTTAGCATTATATGTAGTAGTCAAAAACTGGGCCAGATATCAAAATAAATTGTGGCATATTTATACAGCAGAATACCTCAATTAAAATGGATGAACTAATGCTACACACAATTTGTGGATTAACCTGATAAGTAATGTCAAGTAAAGAATCCACACACACAAGTGCGTACTGTATGAATCTGTTTATGTAAAGTTCAAAAACAGGCAAAACGAATCAAAGGTGATGAAACTCAGAAAAATTGCTGTTTGGGAGGTAATGGCTGAGAAAGGGCAGGATTGAGGCTTTGAGGTGTTGCCGTTATTCTGCTTCTTCATTTGGCAGTGGTTACACAGGTGTTTACAACATAAATATCTATCAGGCTGTATACACCCTTTCTCACTTTTTGAAGGTATGGTATACTTTAGTAAAAGTTTACTAAAAAGTAAAAATAAAAAAGATGTTGCACTTCTTGTTAGCAAAATAAAACCGTGGCAGGTATTTTGGTAAATATTCTATTTTTCTCATCTTCTGTTGCTGATGACGGGGATGGTATTCGGGTGAATGCTTTGTCGATTAGAATATCATTTTGCTTTAGCCTGTGCAGCCAATGCAGCTTCTTCACGCAACTTAGCCTTCTTTGCCAAGTTCAAACTTGCTAAGGATTCATGTCGTTCTACAGCCTGTGGGGGGCAAAATTATATATATATATCACTATGACTCTGGAAAGTGGAAAAATTTGTATTTTAGACAGAAATATATGGGAGAGAACAGAATTAGAAGTTCTAACATACGTTCATAATGGGAAGAGAGAATAGACTGAATGGGAAAAGAGGCCATCTTTGAAGTTATGACAGCATAGACTTGTTCAGAAGTGAGGAAAGCTGTAAGTCCTCAAACTGGAGGATATACAAAGTCCTTAGTAAAATAAATAAAAATTTAACAGATATTGACAGATACCAAGTGTGCATCTCACACTTAATATAGCCAAAATAGAGAGCTGGCATATTTTGTGCCCCCTGCCTACCAGTCTTTCCCCAGCCATACACATCTCAATAAATGGCAGCAGCATCCACCTTCTTGCTCAAGTCAAAAAACCCAGGCCTTTGCGCTTCTTTATTCAATTTTTTATTTCCGATTCCACAATGAATTCACCACAAAGTTCTATCCTTTTTACTTCCCCAAATATACCTCAGCTTGCTAACCTCTTCTCCATCTGCCACAATTTCTTTAAGGTACGTGCATTGTAATTCAAAATGAAAAATGAATTGGAGACAGGCAAGAGGGACAGTGGTGGGACTATTTAGAAGATACTGCAATGAACCAGGCGATAGATATATATTGGTATCTCAGGAGAGATACTGAGGAGTGCTCCAATTGGGGCTCTATTTTGAAAGTGGAGCCAATGGGGTTGCTGATATATGACGACTTATACATGAGCAGCTAGAAAGACAGAGTTGACATCAACTGAGAGAAGGAAGACAGTACAGAAAAGGGTGGCTCAGGGTTGTCTGAGGGAAGATCTAGAGTTCAACTCTTGACATGTTAAGTTTGAGACATCCATTAGACATCCAAAGGGAAATGTTAAGTAAGCAACTGACTATATGAGTTTGAAGTGCAGAAGGAAGACGTTAGTTGAGATATCAATTTGAAGAGTCCTTGGAAAATAGAAGGTATTTAAATCCAAAAGACTTGGTAAGATCCCCCAAGGGAGTGAGTGTAGATAGAGAACAGAAAGACTAAAGACTGATCCATGGGGGGATTCCACTGTTATGAGGTCCAGGAGAAAAGGAGAAACCAGCAGAGTAAACTCGAAAGACGTGGCCAACAGAGAACCTACATGAGTGTGGTGCCAAGGAAATCAAGCAAAGAAAATATTTCATGGAAGATAAAAGATTTTTATTCCCAGTGCTTTCACTTTAGAGCTTCTGAGGATTTTTATGGAAGGACAATGGCTAGTTTTCATTCTCCAACAAAGGGTAAGTGAAAAATGTCACATTGGCCTATTCTAGTGTTTTTCATATATACATTTGTAGCCAATTATTCCCCTATGTGCCAAAAATATTCTTTTCTTGGTTGAAGAAAGGAGAGACTGGCTACTGTGTGCCAGAATTCCTGTAGAGGGGTGGCTTTGAGGTATAGGTAGACCAAATTGCTTTGTAACCCTGATATTCTCAACCTAGATGTATTTTTAGCAGTTCACTAGAACTGAACTGATAAAATTCACTAGACTGAACTCAGATTGAGCAGAATTTGAGGAAGGGAAGACATTGATTTGGCAGTAGAAAATATTTGCTAATCAAGAAGAATTGTCAACTGTCCCTCCAAAATGTAATGAGATTTATCCGCACCCAAGCATCCAAACAGTGTCAAACCAAGTCTAGATAAACAGTCTCCAAAATAGGGTAAGAACGACAATGCCCACTGAGGTCAAGAAATAATATAAACACATTTCATATTTTTTAAATAAGAAAAACTAACATTTAATAGAAGAGTTGAGGAATAGTGAATCCCTGTCTCTGTCAGGCAGTGGAGGTATCCTGAAGAACCTGTGACAGTTCTAGAATACAGAAGAATATAAAGGCACATCTAACTTTATTGTGCTTCGCTGTATTATGCCTCTCTCTCTTTCTTCTTCTTTTCTTTCAAATTGAAGGTTTGTGGCAACCCTGCATGGAATAAGTCTGTAGGCTCCATTTTGCCAACAGCTTGTGCTCGCTTCGTGTCTCTGTCACATTTTGCTAATTTTTGCAATATTTCAAACTTTTTCATTTTCATAACTTCTGTTATGGTGATCTGCAATCAGCGATTGCTGATGTTACTATTGTACTTGTTTTAGGGTGCTACAAGTTGTGCCCAGATAAGACAGCAAACTTAATTGGTAAACGTTGTACATATTATTCTCACTCCACACACTGGCCAGCCTCCCGTCTCTCTTCCTCTCCTTGGGCCTCCCTATTCCTTGAGATGCAACAATATTGAAATTAGGCCAATTATTAACCCTATAATGGCCTCTAAAATGTTCAAGTAAAAGGAAGGGTTGTGCATCTCTCTCTTTAAAAAAGTAGAAATGATTAAGCTTAGTGAAAAAGGCATGTTGAAAGCCAAGATAGGTTAAAAGCTAGGCCTCTTGTGCCAAACAGTTGACCATGCTGTGAATGCAAAGGAAAAGTTACTGAAGAAAATTAAAAGTGCTACTCCAGTGAACACACAAATAAAGTGAAACAGCCTTATTACTGATATAAAAAACATTTTAGTGGTCTAGATACAAGATCAAACCAGCCACAACATTCCTTTAAGCCAGTGCCTAATACAGAGCAAGGCCCTAACTCTCTTCAGTTCTGAGAAAGCTGCAGAAGAAAAGTTGGAAGCTGGCAGAGGTTGGTTCATGAGGCTGAAGGAAAGAAGCTGTCTCCATAACATAAAAGTGCAAGGTGAAGCAGCAAGTGCTGATAAGAGAAGCTACGGCAAGTCGTCTAGAAGATCTGTTATAGCTGACATCATTGATGAAGGCTATGCTAAAAAACAATTTTTCAATGAAGTCAGAATAGCCTCATATTGGAAGAAAATGGCATCTAGAACTTTCAGAGACAGAGGGAAGTCAATGCCTGGCTTTAAAGCTTCAAAGACAGGCTGACTCTCTTGTTAGGAGCTATTGCAGCTGTATTAAATGGAAGCTAATACCCACTATCATTCTGAAAATCCTAGGGCTCTTAAGAATTATGGCAAATCTCTGTCTGTACTCCATGAATGGAACAATGAAGCCTGGATGACTCTGTATCTGCTTACATGGCTTTCTAATTATTTAAAACTCACTGTTGAGACTTACTTCTCAGGAAAAAAAAGATTCTTTTCAAAATATTACTTCTCAGTGACAATGCATCTGGTCACTCAAAAGCTCTGATGGATATTTACAAGGAGATTAATGTTTTCATGACTGCTAACACAACATCTATTCTTCAGCGCATGGAAAAAGGTGCCTGATTTTAAATTTTATTCTTAAGTGACTTATCTTTTGTGTTTGTTGCTATTTTAAGTAGAGTCTTTATTTCTGATCTCTCTTTTCACAGGAGAGTGAAAATTTTTAAATCTTGTCACTATCTTGCTTAAAACTATTCACTGGATCCCCAAGTGTTTTAAAAAATCTGAACTATTTGCAGTGACCCATAGGCCTGATACTATCTGGACTCTCCCTGTCTCATACAGTCTTCCCTTTGCTCATTATACTCCATCCACACTAGCTCCTTTTTGTTTATTCATACACCAGACCCTTTCTCATCTCTAAGCTTTACACATGCTATTTTTTTCTTCCCTTGGTCCTCTCATTGCTAGCTTATTCTCATCCTCCTCCGAGAGGGCTTCCCTGACCGCTCCATCAAAAATGGCCTCTCTTAGGATGTTACTACTTTATCATCCTGTTCCTTTCCTTCATTGCACTAAGAATTCCTCATATATTTTTAGTTTGTTTACTTGATCACTCTCCATTTTCCCCACTACAAAATACCTGTCTTTTTTCTCCATGGTATTCTAATAACAAACATGCATAGTGCCTGACATGTCTCAGGTGCTCAAAAGTATTTAGTGTATTAATGATTGAAAATCAATGTCTGCTCTCACATTTTTGGAGAAGAGGAAATGGAGCAATAACTGGTGCTACACATAGAACTCGATTCTTAGTTGCCACTTTTTGTGTCAGATTCACACAGAAAAATCCTGGCTATAATGATTTATAATAGAATTATATTTGAAATATGGGATTTTCACAGGAAATGGAAAATCTTTCCTGCAATTCAAATTAAATGTATTGAAAATAAAATGATGACATCAGTAGATCTCTAATATGCCAACTTGCTGATAAAATATATATTAAGTATAATTTGTCTTAATGTCTCATTTGGAAACTTGTGATTCCTATTAAAAAATATTAAAGTGCCATTATAAATAAACTATTAGAGGGTGATTCTAAGTAAACAAATTGTCTAATTAATGTTTATCTTTTTGATGTAGAATGAGGCAATACACAAATCATCAAAATATTTCTAGAAGCTAGAGAATCATCAATTTGGCAGCAGTCATTTATTTAAGGTTAAGTTAGAAACAAGATATTATCAAAGTTATTTATTTATATTTTTGAGTGTTCAGTCCAGTAAACATTTAAAAATTTCTCATGGTGAGAACAATTTCAAAGCATGCAGTTTTTCCAAGCTAATAGGAATGAAAGGACATTTATATAGTCTCTGTAGGCTTATAGGTCCTAATCCCTGTGTGAAGTTAGTGGGCTGAGATACACTTGGGCACCCAGGGAGTAAAGGACAGAATCACAGAATTGGATGTATGGAGCCAAGCAAACTATTCTGAATGATATGGGTGCACTATTGAAACACAATATTCGTAACCAAAAACGTTATAATCCAGCTTTAGTGGCTGCAGGTGCCATGATGAAGAGGGGCACTGTTAAACTGGAGTGTGTTGAGAGGACAGCTCCCAGGTAGAAGGAAGTTGTTACAGTGGTTAAAACTGAAGAAGCAAAAACTCATAGGGATGTGTTAGAAATGTCAAAATACTTGTGGGACTGCTCTTTGTGGTAAAAAGTGACCAGTAGATGGAAGGATTTGGAGAGGCAGAAAACAAAATTAGAGGGTAGTCAGCTCTTAATTTCTCTCTAGAGATATTAAACAGAAACCATACATTGGGAATGTCAAGGAAAGGACTGACATACAGGATCCAGACAAACTAGATGACCTTGGCAATCACTTCCAGCCTTTGCACTTATAACTAGTTCATATTTCTGTTCCTGATTTAATGAATGATCTAGTCTGGATAACTTTCAACAATAAAGCTCTCTGTCTTCTGCAGATTTTAACCAGGGTATAAATTGTCTTGTTTTTGTTTATGAGTTGAAACAAGCATTTGTCCCTCCTGGCCATATAGTGTTAATTTGTTGACTCAAATTTCCATAAACAAATTTATCTCCGGTATAATATATATTATAATATAACATACATTATATAATATATATATATATATATATATATGACTTTAAGTCTCAAAGACAAAATTGTTCTTAGATTAAAAAACAGCAATAATCCCTGAATTGAGAACAGTGTCTATAACATTTCCTAAAATTCACCTTTTGGGCTAAGGAGATACTCACCCTTTTGGTGAGATACTCGATCTTTTAAGGAGGTACTTAAAAAGAAGTACTCACCCTTTTGACTTTCTTGCCCTTTTAAGGAGATACTCACCCTTTTGGCTGACGCTATCACAGCAAAGCAGGCGATAATTGTGAGTCCAATCATTATGTAACAAACTTTCACTCGAGCTTTGTTTCTGGCAGTGTCTATCATTTCTGGCCTAAACGAAGATGTGCATTCTGTTAAATATGTAAAAATAATATGGTTTTCTGACAGGCTTGATACATAATTTGCTGTGTAAACATTCCAAAAAATTCCCTGACTGCAAACTACATTCGGTGACATTTTCATGTGCAAGACTTTGAAACGCTAGTCGGTTATTCTACCAATTTCAAATTAACAAGGATTTATTCATATCTTAAACTAGTGTTAGCCATTATCAAACTGTTGTATAGTATATTTAGTTTCTAATTCCTCAAAATATAACTACTAGAAATGCTAACTTGACTCTCCATTGTTTTTATTCACTAAATGGGGTAAAGGAGGAGTTAAAGCATACATACATCTGTGACCCACAATTATTTAGACTCTTTGTTAAGTAGGCTTTGTTTTCCTTTTGAACAGTTTCTTTTTTTTTTTTTAAACTCATTTTTATCACTTTGTTTTTTCACTGACCTCACAATCCCTTGTCCCTTCACATGCTGTCCCCAAGAGAGACTACTATCCAGTTTGTGAGAATGTCTGTTAGAAAAATGATGTTTCCTTCATGGCTTTTGCAAGAATTAAAAAAAGAAAAAAGAGATTAAAATCACAATAATTTGCCAAAGAAAAAGATAAAAGAGACCTTCATTTTCCTGTTATTATTATTCTGAAATGTGATCTACTTAAGTTCTAGATAGTCTTATTCAGTCATCGTTTTATGCATGTTGTCCGAGATTTTAATAGTACTTCTTACAAAGTGGTGATACAAAAGGCATCATGCCTGTGGGGCTTTTACATTGAAATAAACTTTAACAATTTTCAATAATATGAAGTGGCAGTTTCTAAATATGCATATTTAAAGCATTTGATTTGTGAGAATATATTCATTGGCATTCTTTCTTCTCTTTGTGAAGTTTAAATAGAGTATAGTTACATTGAAAAAAAAAATTCAGAAAGACAAAGTTGTAATTTCTCTTAAAAACAGAAAACTTTTTAACTTTTCCACTGGTTGACAGACCATAGAAAACAACTATCTTTCCCGTTTTCTTTAGATTTTAGGCAGAATGATGTAAGTTTTAAGATATGAGTTGCAAACAGGTTCAATCAGTGAGTATAGAGAAATTATTAGATTATATTTGCTGCTAACTTTTGTTCCAGATGGAACCTAGAAGCTGTGATCTTTTTTACCCAGCCAGTTGGCTTTAATCTATTACAACAAATTAGTTTAGCACTGAGAAAGACAAGACAAAGTACGCTTATTATTAAATGTAATTAGTGTATAATACAAAAATTATAGGTCACTTGTTCATGATATGTCCATTAAAAGGTAAAAGCTGTTTACATTTTAAGTGTAACACTTGGCTTAACAGGAATCTCTCTTAAATAGCAATGTTTAAAAAAATTATAGAAAAATAATAAAAATGAAAAATACTCAAATACTTTAAAATTTCTGATCCAAAACTGCAATGCTTTTTATAGGCATCTTGTTCTTAGTGAAATGCTCCTGTTTATAATACTTTTTTAAACTGTGATCTTGGGGGAAATTCATTATTTCTGTAAAACGAGTCTCTTCACACATGCAGCTATGTTAAATGCAATACTGGGCATAGGTTTTCTTGACAAACAATGTAATGCTGCTTCTTTACACTCTTGATTACTCATTTAGGCCACTGGAAATAAAAATTCAAACAAATTGAAGGTGGTGGCTTATTTATTTTTATTTTTTACTTATTTGTTTGGCGTTTAATGTATTAAATTTTCAGGCATCAATTAAAATTTGAATTTGATAACCAGAGCTTATGATGAGAAAGGCTTTTCTGAGTCTAATTTTTGCTTTCAGCTAAGTCTGTGGTTTGGAGTCTATAGATCTCAAGGAAAATTAATCTTAGAACGTATCTCTGTAGTTGACTACTGAAAACAGATGCAAATGCCATGTTATTTCAAATTCCATGTCCATTCCTCATTAAGTGACTTGCTCCAATAAAGGAATGAAAATGCCTCAGAGTTCAGTATTGAGTGTACATTTTCCATCCATGTTGTCCCACCCCGCCCCTCCCCATCTATCTGAGATGCTTTGGTAACTGATAAACTGCAATTGTTTATAAACAATAACATTGCAGGCACCATGTGAAGAACAGGAATATAGGCCCAGTTTCCATTATCCATTCTAATATATCCATTTTAATAGACATTCATTACATTGTAGAAATATCCTGTATCTCTAAAATCCTTCTTACACGTTATGGTTTTAGGCTATTTTTTTTAAAGATAAACTTGATAAGCCGTACACTGATTTTATTCTTAGTTTCCACCCCTCTGTTTTTTACCCAATCCCTTGTAAAAATGCTGTGAAGGTTTTTAGGCTTGGCAGAAACAGAAACTTTGGAAAGACTTTTTTTACAGGTTACATTTACTTATTATTAGCATTTATTTTACAGGTTACATTACCCTGGGGGGGGGGTTACTAGCTTGAGTTTTATCAACTGTCTTGGTGGGTTTAGCATATTGAAGAGGACCACGGTGCTGACACTGTCGCGCGTCTCCCCTAGAGTAAACTGTAGCCTAGCGGGCTGCAGAACAGCGTCAGCCAGGCGTCTCCTGCCCCAGAGGAGGAGGCCGCATGGATGCAACTTTTTTCCAGAGACCCTCCAGCCGCCCCGCAAACCATGATCAGGGAACCCTTTCCTTGGGTGGAGTAGCGGAACGCCCCAGACCAAAGCCCATATTGCCGTCTGACGTCCCCGCAGCCATCCAGATGCTCACGAGGACCCTGCCCCGGTTGGCACAAGAACCCCACTGCCTCCCCGCTCCGAGCTTGCTGGGGAAGGGGACAAGATATCTGGGCGATGCTGGAAGTGTCCACCGAACCTCTCGCTTTTCGCCCACATTCTGCAATCTCCCTGTAAGCTTAGCAGACCTCTTGGCTACTGGCCGCACTGGAGGCGGGGTGTGTGTGCAGGTAAACTCCGTGTGTGGTGGGTGTTATTGCGAAGTGTTGGCACTGCGGCCGCCTTAGCTTCCAGGTGGCCGCGGTCGGTAGGTGGGTCACCCCGCACCCTCGCGGCCGGGCCCGACTCTCCTTCGCGCCGCGGTTGCCACACTTACGGGACCCAAGGCGGGATCTCCTCCATCGATTTGAAACGCCCCGTCCACACCAGGATTTTCTTGTCGAATTGCGAAGGCCTGTGCTGCGCAGGGACTCCGTGAACCTCCCCTGCAGCGAAAGCAACCCAGATGGAGGCGGGAACCGACAGACTCGCACAGAGGATCAGCGGGAGCTCAAGCCGACCCCCGGGCCAGCTCCTCGCCGCCCTCCCGCAACCTCCTCCCTCCCAGGACCACCTGGTCCGAGCCCTGGCTCACCGCGACCTTTCGGTGCAGAATTGCTGGGGGCCGCGCCGCTGGAGTACCAGGGGAGACCCCAGGGCGGAAGAACCGGTGCGGGTCGCCGCGTCGCCTCGACAGGCGCCCCGGGGGCGCAGCGGACGGTTACACCGCGGCCGAGGCGCAGAAGGCTCCCGACCGCCGAGAACATGCTGCCTGCTAGTCCCGCGCCGTACCCGCACTTCCCGGCCCAGCCACGGGCGTTCTCCCCGCAGCTGTCCCCGCCCAGGGCCGGCCCGGCCCGCCGCGCCCTGGAGAGCCTGGGACGCGCAGCTGGAACCCCCGGCGCTCGCACACTCAGCTCCCTGTCCCCGCCTCCGCCCCCGTCCGGCGACCCCGGATCTGGGCGTCAAGGCCCTAGGGGCTGGTTCCCCAGGGAGCAGCCTGCCTCTGTTCACCACCGCCTGAGACAGTACGTGCGGCTCCTTTTAAATTCTCTGTATTGAGTAGAAATGTGTTTCCGCCAGGCTTTTAGCCTTTGATTCCATCGTTTGTTCCCCAGGGGAGTAAATCCAAATCCTCTCCTACAGGAAGAGACAACAATCATTCAAGTGCAGGAAACTTCAGACATTTATCAGTTAAGTGTAAGGCACTCTACGAACTTCTGGATGAGAGTTTTTGAAGTTAGCTCCTCACTTCTTCCTCCCACCCCAGTATCTTTTCTCTTTCCTACGGAAAACAACCTCAGTTCCTGCATCCATCTTTCTCTATCTTTTCTTCTCCTTTTCAGAGACAGCCTCTGGCTCTGTCACTCAGGCTGGAGTGCAGTGGCATGCTGATAGCTCATTGTAACCTCGAACTCCTGGACTCAAGTAATCCTCCCGCCTTAGCCTCCGGAGTAGTTAGGGCTTTGGTTGTGCGCTCTGCTATTTTTATTTTATTTTTTTAAGAGATGGGATCTCATTATGTTGCCCAGACTGGTCTCCAACTCCTGGCCTCCAGCTAACCCCTGGGCTCTGCCTCCCAAAGCACTGGGATTACAGGCAGAAGCCACCGAACCTGGTCCACCCTTGACATTTCTGCAATTCACTTACACAAATGTATACTCACTGAAGGCCATGTTTCATGCACATTCTCTTTATGGGGTGCTCAGNCATGCCAGCCCCCCCACCTCTTCATACCTTTGCCCACAAACTCTCCACACTCCCTTCAAAATGTGCCTTTCTTCTGTCACCTTCCACCGTCTCCTCTCTGCTAAAAGGTAAAAGAATCTACTATTTTCAGGCATTAAATGGTAACAGGGATTCAGAATCAGTGATTGGAGAGAAGGGTTGTACAAGGAAATGACTTATCTTGTTCCAGAGACAACAGATCTCCTGCCAAGTCAAAGTTCTCATCAGCCCAGCACCAGCCCCACCTCACCCTCCTCTCCTGTTACTGCCTGTGAGATTCCCTCCTTATCTAGACACTGCTTTTCCCTTGTTGGATTTCTAGATATTTTTCTTTCTAACTAGCTCTCAGGGTCTTGAAGGCAATAGCTTTTCTGTAACTGCCAGCCCAGGTTTTGTTTTTTTGTTTTATATAACAGCGTTAAACAAAAAAGGAGGGTTTAATAACTCTGTGAAGACATGCATTTAGAGGAGTGCTCGTAGAAGGCACACGGGCTTTGCCTTCACACCTAGGTTTAAATCCCAGATTTGTGACCTAAAAGTTGCACGACATCATGAGCAGTAAATCAGTTAAGTTATAAGTCTTGGTTTCATTTGTAAAACCAGAATTCCTGTCTTGTAGGTTTATTCCTGCAGTGACTACCAGTAATCAACTATGTGCCAGCTACCTCTCAGAGCTGGGGATAGAGCAGTGATGCCATCAGGTGAGGATGAAGAAAAATAAAACAGGGTGGAAAAAAAAAAGCAGGAGTAGAGTGAGAAGCTATTTAGAAAGCCTGTTTAGGAATGTCCCTCTAAATGTGCCTGGCGTGTAGTAATACTTCCGAAGATACGATTTTTTTCCCTTCACATTCTTTAGTCCCAAAGCACAAGGGCATTTTAATATATGTAATCTCCCATGGGGAATTAGGAGCTCCCTACCCTTCAGGATTTTTAATTATATTCCAAACATTTAGCTGAAAAATTGGCACTTACTAGATATTTAATAAGTATTGTTAAATAAGTGAGTAGATCAATACAGGTCTTCAAAAACAGAGTAGTCTATACCTAGGCTAGTTTTAGAAAAGACTGAGCTGCTTGAGGAGAATATATGTCCTTCTAAACTTCATACATCCAGTGTCTATCATGTTGCTTACCACATAGCAGTCTCCAAATAAATATTTATAAAACTCAACTTAATGAATTCCTGCTTCAGAAAGTATGTTGCCGTAGCTAGTACTGCTCCAGCATTATGCTACTTGAAGATTCTTCCATTATTTAAATGTTTTGTTTTTTTTCTTTTAGTATTTTATTTGTTTTCATATCACTGAGAAGGAATATCCATGCAGATAGAGGAAGTCACCTCTGAGAAACAACCTATCATTAATAATTCACCAAGAAATATTAAACAAGGGAAATAAGTTTATTTCCCTGGAGAGAATCAAATGTCATACATACGCTCAGGATTTTCTATTTCGAGCTTCTCCAGTATTGCAGAACTACAAGGCAGGAGAGTAAGCTCAAGTCATGAGAGAAAGAACAATTTGTATTCTGTTCTCTATCCTTGATGGGATTAAAATATCACTGTTTGTCAGTGGTCTACATAAAATAAATTACTTACAGCTGCATTAGATATTTTTTTCAGTTCTATAATTAGAACAAGTTAAAACATTTGAAACAACTTTTAATAGAAGAATACACTAATGATATGCCTTTATTTCTTTTTCTAATGAGGACAGCACTTTTTTTTTTTTTTTTTTTTTTTTTTTTGATGTCGTTTTTCCCTGTTGCCCAGACTGGAGTGCATTGGCATGATCTCAGCTCCTGCAACCTCCATCTCCCAGGTTCAAGTGATTCTCCTGCCTCAGCCTCCAAGGAAGCTGGGATTACAGGTGCCCATCACCACATCTGGCTAATTTTTGTAGTTTTTAATAGAGACAAGGTTTTACCATGTTGGCCAGGCTGGCCTCAAACTCCTGACCTCAGGAGATCCACCTGCCTCAGCCTCCGAAAGTGCTAGTGCTGGGGTTACAGGCATGAGCCACCATGCTGAGCCAGCACATTTATTCACTAAACAAACATTGACTGAGTACTTCCTATGTGCTGGATACTCTTCTAGTTTCTGAAGTTATAGCAGGTAACCAAACAAAAATCTCTGTCCATTACAGGGCTTATTAATCCATGTGGTTTTAGTTTACTCACTCCATTCTGTTATCTTTCTTTCCCTTCCTTCCTTCCTTCCTTCCTTCCTTCCTTCCTTTCTTTCTTTCTTTCTTTCTTTCTTTCTTTCTTTCTTTCTTTCTTTCTTTCTTTCTTTCTTTCTTTCTTTCTTTCTTTCTTTCTCTTTCTTTCCTCTTTCTTTCTTTCTTCTTTNTTTCTTTCCTCTTTCTTTCTTTCTTCTTTCTTTCTTTCTTTCTTTCTTTCTTTCTTTCTTTCTTCTTTCTTTCTTTCCTTCTCGCTCCCTCTCTCTCTCTTTCTTTTTCTTTCTTTCTTTCCCTTCCTTCCTTCCTTTCTTTCTCTCTCTTTCTTTCTTTCTTTCTTTCCTTCTTTCTCTTTCTTTCTTTCTTTCTTTCTTTCTTTCTTTCTTTCTTTCTTTCTTTCTTTCTTTCTTTCTTCTTTCTTTCTTTCCTTCTCTCTCTCTCTCTCTCTTTCTTTTTCTTTCTTTCTTTCTTTTTTTTGAGACAGAATCTTGTTCTGTTGCCAGACGCCACTGGAGTGCAGTGGCACGATCTCGGCTCACTGCAACTTCTACCTCCTGGGTTCAAGCAATTCTGCCTCAGCCTCTCGAGTAGCTGGGACTGCAGGTGCACGCCACCACGCCCAGCTAATTTTTGTATTTTTAGTAGAGATGGGGTTTCACCACGTTGGCCAGGATGGTCTCGATCTCTTGACCTCGTGATCTGCCCACCTTGGCCTCCCAAGGTTCTGGGATTACAGGTGTGAGCCACCGCCGGCCAGTTCTGTTATTTTTCAATTCAAAGGTTCATGTAATTTGCAGTTTGTTTGAACATATGATTGTCAGTATTGTTCCTTCAAGCCTTGCTTTTGATGAGCATGGCTCATATTTCCATTTCCTATATCTAATTTAGTTAATTAAGGTACACTGTTACACCTAGGACTAGATTTTAAATAAAGTAATTCCATAAACACTGGAAAGTATGGGTAGTTGTGTGTGTGTGTGTGTGTGTGTGTGTGTGTGTGTGTGTGTGTTTCCCTCAGTTGGAAGCGTTGTGCTTCTTGCTAGGCTAAGGCAGAGGTTACAAAGACAGAACTGCAGAGCTGCCCCCCAGGAGCTCTCAATCTGGCTGGGATGAGGTGCCCTCATCAGAAAATGACCTGCTCCCAAAGGAAGGCCTTAGAGGGACCTTAACTAACCTGTTTTTCAACTCCCTGCTAGTATCTCTGTAGGAAAAGTTCTAAAGTGACAGTCTATCTCTAGGATCTGCTCATAGGGGTCCCTAGTGCTTGGGGTAACCTTATTAAGTGGGTGGTCCAGATGAGGACTAAGCATACACTTAAGACACCAACCACAGAAAGGGCACTGAAAACATGAAGGACTGTTTTGAAATTATTTTGAAATTTAGAATTAAGAATAAAAACTCATGAGAGCACCAGCATGTGTAAAACGTCCTCACATTTGTGTTCTAAATATATATTTACATATGGGCTGATGAAGGCCATAGCATTTTCAGCAGTGAGGATGCCAAAGGTCTTAATTTGGCCTGGGTTCTTAGGGTCAGAGCTGATGATAACATCAAAACTTGGTCTGGTTGTGATATACAACCAGATATGATTGAAAGAAACCATAAATCAGATCATCTGTTTATTCTGGCAAAACATTCCAGTGGTTCCAAGCATGCTGTGCTTAGAATAAAACGGAACTCTTTACTGGGGTCTACAGGGCCCTGTATGACCTAGACCTGCATACCTCTCCAAGCTCAATTCCAGCCACTCTTTCTTTTCTGTATAGTCCAGTCATACTGGTCTCCTCTGACTTTCTCAAGCAGGGAAAGCTTGCTCTCATTTCAGGTCTTTGCATTTCCTTTTTCCTCACATGCTCACCTCTTTCTCATTTTTAAGGTCTCAGTATAGCTATCACTGCCTCCTAAAGGCCTTTCCTGTCCATCCTGGCAAAAGTTGCCCTACCCCTCCTCCCACCCTCAATTTTGTTACCTTGTTTTCTCCTTAACAGTTGCCATTCTCTG